AGCAATGATCATATTTGACTCATGAGTCACCAGCCATTCAGGCAAAGGGTGTAGATTTCCACATATTATAAAAAAAAATTAATTTTTTTCGATGTTAAATATTCTCGATATGCGACATTCTCTTTTTTTTTTTTGCTTGAACTGGCAGTGAAAAGTTCTGCGTGAAGGGTTTATCAGTATCAGGGGAATACACTAAACCACATAGGGTTTCCTTAACAAAATTGTCTCCCCCTGATACTGTTCATTCGGTCATCCGCAACAAAATTGAGGCGTTCAGAAGGGTCAAACTCTGTACTGTCAAAAAGTGCCATGTTTATCTTAGATTGCCTTGGATTGGATCCATATAGTTAGACAGATTTCCTCTAATGTTCGTCGTTGTTTTTTCTCGGCTGAGGTTCGTTTAGTTTTTCAAACCCGGCCTGTGTTTCGTTCTGGGTGTAAGGATGTTCTCCCTCCCCATCAAATTAATTCTTTTGTTTATAAATATAATTGTAGTTGCGTTGCTGACTACATAGGGAGGACGACTCAACGCCTTGACATGAGAATTAAACATGTTCCCACTAAGATCAGGAATCACACCTTGTCGTTGAATGGACATGTTCCCAATACCTATGGTTCCGCCATATGTGAGCACCTCTTAAATAACAGAGTGTTTGCGGCTAACTTTAGTGTTGACTAGTTCACTGTGTTGTCCCGGTCGCACTCTTTATTTCACCTCAAGGTGCTGGAGGCACTTTATATCAGGTTCCGCAAACCTTCCTGTGTAAACAGCGTGAATGTTTGTTGGGACTATTATTTGTCTCTAGCTCCTTGTGTCCATATATATATATATATATATATATATATATATATATATATATATATATATATCCTCCCCATTTCCTTTTCATTGCACATTTTCTAGTTTGAAGATCGGGAGCGAAACCGGTTGCTTCGCTTTTTAATATGTCTAGTAATTACTTAATAAAAAAGAAGAGATTATCTTTAAATACCCCAATGACTAAAATATCTGTGTGCGTACGTGCATGTATATGCAGTAAATATTATTTGTACAAATGTAAGGTGAAAAGAATCTGGTATAACAAAAATATATTTATAGGAAGAATACACATTATCCCCTCAGGGATAAAGTTCAAATAATTGACAGGGAGCATCGTTGGTGGGTAAGGAAGTTCAAGGAAGCAGTATGTATTGACTTGTCAGTTAGGTACACGAGTTCAGCTAGTATGGATCCCAAGGCAACATGATTTTCTTTGCTTAGCAAAGTGTGTTTTGGTTAATGCCTCTTCTTCATGGACCAAGTCTCTTCAGAACATAGCCAATCATGGCTCTCTCCAACATCCTCTCTTTTGTTTTTGCCTTTTACCATCTCTGTTTATCCCTCTGTTCTGGTCTCAGTCATCACATGAAACTCCATGTTCAAGCTTACAAAACAGGCCAGGCCAAGTACTGAACTTATTTTGCCGTGTCTGCATTAAACATTACAAGTCACTTGCTTAGCCGCAAGAACCATTGTCATTCTCATGGGTAATAAAACCATGGATCAAACTTGTCGACAATGGTCACACTCTTTTAAGGAGTCAACAGCCATCATGTATGTATGTATGTATATATAGGTATGTATGTATGCATGAAATCACTCCGTCCACTCGTCAGAGGATATCAGCAATTAACTCTTTATTTTTCCCTTTATATATATATATATATGTGTGTGTGTGTGTGTGTGTGTGTGTGTGTGTGTGTGTGTGTGTGTGTGTGTGTGCACATTCATGTACATCTGCATGGGCGCGCTCATGTCTGACTTGGGATGTTAATATTTTAAAATATAGGTCAAGGTTATATTAACCGCCTCTATGATACTGGGGATTGAGCTAACTTAATGTCTGTATTTTCATCGGATGCCTCCTGCTTCCTTTCTTTTCTTCTTTCTCTTTTACCTTTTTCTTTTTTCTCTTTTTTTAAATGTTAAAATTTTAAGTTCTTATTTTATACTTCACACTTCTGTGTTTACAATGTCAACATAGGACTTGTTGGGTGAAATAGCTATTCGAATGAGGTAAATTTAGATTTCTATTATATATATATATATATATAATACAAAGACAGTTTTAAAGAGATTTTACATTGAGCACTGTGTTTTCTAGTGATTTTTTTTACCTGTTATATAAAACGTAGATATAAAATGTGAATACTGAGATCAACACCAAGTGGCAATAGTCTATTTTACATTTCGACGCAATCTTCAGGCCATGTGTGTTGTGTTTTGGTCCGATTAATTATATATGCTGGTCAGTGGTGCATTATGGGTATTAAGATCTATTGTATTATCCTGACAGTTATTGGGCGGACGGGAATGGTTATTTTTCAAATTATTCAAATAATGCCTAGATGTAAACGTAAGTTCTTTGCTAACAGCTTCTTTTCTCGCACTTCTCCCTTGTGGAAATCTATTCCGGTTTCTTGTTTTCTCGGCAAATTTGATCTTCAAAAATTTAAATACAATGCCAATTGCTACATACAGTCTTCGGAATACTCTTCTTTTATTGTTCTCGCTCCTTAATAATGTTTTTCTTTTTCTTATTCTTTCATACACAGTAACCCCTTGTGTCTTAGTGACTTTGTTGCTTTGCTTGGGTTGAAATGATAAGAAAAAATGTATTTATTTATTGGTTCTGCAAAAATTTCTATCTTTAACTAAAGGGAGGTAAATACGTTAAGGGAGGTAAGAAATGTGGCATCAAACAGAATCAAAGGGAGATAACTCAAAGAAATAAACAATACTCGTAAAACATGTTGAATCTTTTGTAAGTGAAAGTTATCTATCATTATCTTAAATATATAGTGAAAATAAGCTTCTAAAATATTAGGAGCAGTGAAGAATAAAAAAATCTAATGAAATACATTTTGTTTATTAAATGACAAAAATTACACTAATGTTGGAATATGCAGAAACGAAAAGTCAGTAATAAACTCAATAAATGTATTATTTTTTTAATGTAAGAAGTTGGTGCTATTATTTTATCGATCAACATTGTTTATTACCGGCTAAGCTCATGTAGGTACGTATTATTACATATGTTAAATGTGTGTTGGAACAGAAATATATATTTTTAATAGAACGCGCGTTTCAAAGCCAATCACCAGCTAAACGCAAGAAAACGCGGAGAAAAAAAAATGTGAACTCAACTGAGGACCATGAACAAAGAATCCATCAATATTCAATTCGAATATAATTGGGCGTAGTTAAAAAATCTGCCAGGAGGTCATAATTCTGATGTCACTTTGTATAATTAAATAATTTTAAAAATATTACTTGAATGATATTCCAATTCTAAATTCGCTTCCACTTGAAAGAAGGAAATGCGATTTCCAATCAAGTGAAAAATCTTCTTCCCGCTAATAATCAAGCCAAGGCATTCATTAAGACTGACATTTAAACAGAATCACCAATGATCGGCACCCAGTTTCTATTATTTCTGGTTTATTGTTATTTTAATGGCTATTGAATAAGCGGGAGCGGTTATTTTAACTTATTTTTATGGCTATTGAAGAGGTTATTTTAAATAATTTTAATGACTATGGAATTGACGGAAGGTGTTATTTTGATTTGTTTTAAGGGCTATTGAATAGAATTAATTAGGAACCCGAAAGTGATTAGTTGACAGCTATTGTATATGGTCGTTTTTTAACTTTTTAATCACTTTTTATTTATTATTAATTATTTTAGGGTATCTTGTATTCTTTAATAATTATTCGCTACTGATTATTATTATTATTGAATATATATAGTTCTGGTTATGCGTAATTCATACAGTTTATTTATTTATTATTTCCTTTATTTATTTGGAGGATGTCTAATTTGTTTTGTTTAAAGTTTTTTCATTACGTTATCTGCATTGTATACAATACATGTATTTACATTTTTTTCATTGATGTTTTACAAGATATTTTTTTAGTTTTCGATCTTTAATTAATACAGTAAAATATTTGTTTTTATGTCTGCATTTTGAAATAAGCTTTAATTTTTTATTTGATACTTTGCGTTTGTCATTATAGCTATTTTCTCCTCCAGACAAAGTTTACAGTTATTGTTGTAGGCTGGTGCTGTTTTCCTTACTCTCCATGATATTTTGGTGGATTTTGCTTTTACGTTTCCATATATGTTTAGAGAGTGTTGTGCGTTTCGTGTATTTAGTATTTTTAAGAGATCTTTTGTCTGCGTAGTTTCTCTGTTTCCAGAGTCCTCCATTTACTCCTATGTGTACTTTTCTTCGTTGTCCGTTCAAACAAATTACTTAATAAAAAAAAGAAGAGCTTATCTTAAAATTCCCCAATGACTAAGATATATAATTAATCGACTTGTATCCAACTTACATGAAAGAGACTGTCGCCCAACGTTATTAAATTTGGTCAACACTGCTTATTTTACACACACACACTATATATATATATATATATATATATATATATATGGTGTATACGGAATAAATTCCAATAACCAACAATTACTATTCTTAAAAGAGTGCTCCATAGAGAGTAGAGCGAATATAATTATTTATTTAAAAATTATAACATAAATCTGTTATAAAATCACTACAAAAATAGCCATTTGTTTCAACACCTCTGGTGTTCTTATCAAATGATGATGTTGAATAATCTACATTCAACATCATCACTTGATAAGACACCAGAGGTGTTGAAACAAATGGCTATTTTTGTAGTGATTTTATAACAGATTTATGTTATAATTTCTAAATAAATAATATATATATATATATATATATATATATATATATATATATATATATATATATATATATATATAACTGACAGCGGTACTGTAGCTTCATTAGGTTTGGTTCATAAAATACCGAAAAGAATAAAATGCTTTATATGTCCTATTTTATTTCCAACCCACAATTCCATTTGGGATGTTGGCCAACTACTTCTGTTCTGCTAGTGTATAATGTGATCTGTATACTTCCGGTTAGACGCCTGCTCTACAGTTCCTGGCAAAATTCAGCACTGATTGTATTGGGTTCTGCAATAAATTGAAAAAAAGAGAACATCGATTATGAATTCCAATTTTTTAATCCAATGTCTACTTGAGAAGCAAAGTGGGGAGTGTGTGCTTAAAAAACAATGATGTATTTTGGGAGACGGAATATCGTAGCGAAATTTATTAGGAAGTACACTAACATACTTTAGATTGTGGACAGAAATGGCAACCTACATAGTGTATTAAAGGAAAAGGGGAAAAGATGATCTCCATGCCAACACAAGACCGGACACAGAAAAAAATGACACAGGAAACATTTTGGAACCCGGTTAGTCTGTTCTTGCACCCACCAATTATTACTTTATTTGATCACTGCAAGATATTTGATGGGAAAAACCTTTTATAATGAAATTATACTGATTCGTCTAAAAGTTTTTCATATCAAAATCTGAGGAATGTTAAGGTATCGAAGGGCCGCCTGAAAAGTGGCAACAAGTCCTTGCAAATAATCCTATTCTAATTGTGCTTGTCCCTGCCTTCGTTAGTTCGCACGTCGTTACGCCCTGCCAATAGCTGATAAATAATAGACTTTTCCGTTTTGATCGCGTAGAAAGAGGAGAAAAGACACTACTTGGCTTCAGTGAAAGAAAGAAAGAAAGAAAGAAAGAAAGAAAGAAAGAAAGAAAGGAAGAAAGAAAGAAAGAAAGAAAGAAGTTTAATATCTGCCAATAGCTGATAAATAATGGACTTTTCCGTTTTGATCACGTAGAATGAGGAGAAAAGACGCTACTTGGTTTCAGTGAGAAAATGAAGAAAAGAAAGAAGGATAGATAGAAGTGATTAACGGCTGTTTCAGTGAAATGGAAAAAGTTTTCAATTTCAAATCTTTTCATTTGTACTCACTTCTTAAACTAACAACCAGCACTCATATCTATGGTTGTTATTGCAATATTTTGTTTAGTTCCTAAACTTAAATATTTAACAATGGGATAAGGAATTTCTAGGAGTATTTTATTGTCGTAGAACTCGCCAGGAGTTTATCCAATCATAAACTTAAGAATTAAGATTTATTGGAAAATTGAAATAGGAAAATTGTGAAATTTTTATACTTTAAAACTAGTGTTGAATAAATAAGTGAATAAAATGTAATTGTACTTTGTTTTTAATTAAGTATAAATTTACGAAAATATTTGTTCAAAGGGAATAACTTCAGGTTTATTAACTGATTATTATAGAACACTTACCCCGCGTTTTCCTTATTAGAAAATAAGATAAATAATCAAATAAGAATCGTTGACTTGTCAGAACACTTCTCCGTAAGCCATACTGGAACACCAGTGAAGATACTTTGATAATAATTATTAAGTATCCTGTTAATTGATATTTGCAAAATCGTTATAAACGCTATAAGAGAAAATGACTAAACAACAAACAGGGATCACCGAAGGCAACTTTTAAGCTATTTTTTTTACAAACAAATTTAAGTAAATTTGTTTCATTTAATGACGATATTTAAAAAGCCAAAAGTAATATTTACTTGAGGCCGTTGATCTCTTCTGCAGCAAAGCGAGATATCCAACAAAACTTACGATCGTCGTTAAAGATGTTCACTTTTAGAGGTCCGTTGGGCCGACAACCGCCACATGTACCACCACAGACGCCATGAACTTTTTGGTCATTTTCACTTCGTTTAATGGACTGGATACGCGAATAATCGCCGTAAGTCTTCCATTTAACCTTCAATTAAAAATAATTAAAAATTCTTTTTAAAAATGAGACGGATGCAAAATTCAAGAAATCTTTGAAAAAAAACTTTATGATCAGTGATATTATCCGGATTCAAAATGTTACAGCTTTCTTTTAACGTTTGTATTTTAAGGAGGAGACATTATTCAGGTCAATCTAATTTTCAGATATTAACAAATGGCAAATATCTAGCGAGGAGTTATTATCTTCAGTTTTCTTGTAACGAGTTTCTTAAAGATATGCGGAAGCTGAATGAAGCTCTCAAGTTTAAAGCATTCAACACAGAGGCTTGACATTATACGATACACGTTAATATCAATATTAAACTTTCCCTAGTGAAAGACAAAGTACTTCACTGGCTCACATGATATATGAAGACTTCTGAAAAACATATCTTATTCATGAATATATATATATATATATATATATATATATATATATATATAATTATTGGCCAGCTGTGATGCAATGGCTGTCGATTGGCTTAGGGCATCCCCATAGTGAAGTGAGCTATAAATGATTTGATCTGGACTTGAAGTACCGGCAGTTTTATAACAAACAACGGTAAAATCGAGATATGAGAGATTCAAAGCAGCCACTCATTGTTCAGAAGTAGCGAAAAGAAAATGAAATATATAAATAAATAAACACTTTCGGGATAAAATGCCATACAGCCGGAATGTTGGGAATTCCGGTCGTGGGAATATATAGACATGCCGCATTCTATAATGGGCCGTTTATCAAGATATAGAAAAGGATAGTGAGAGTAACAGTAGCCTTAAGAGTGGACAGAATAGCATCTGAGTTCTCGTTGACCAACTGAAGATTTGGTTAATACCTTGTGTGAGAAAACAGAAGTAGCAGTGAATATGTCCCAAGTGGCACTTATCTATCCCTGACAGCGCCAGGTATCCATGAATAAAGAACACAGTATACTGAAAACAGAATTCGGGCTTTCTTTTCTCGCCATGGCGATATTTCCCCTTCCTTTTCATTCTTAAATGTACATTTGGCCTTTCCCATTTTTTGTTCAGACCGACGATTCTGCTTTAGTGTCGGGTATAGACAAAAGAAATGAAACGAAATCCTCATTCTACCTCCCTTCCTCTCTTCAACGATTTTTTTATAAAACGAGAACTCATTAACCGATATGAACGTAGACATGGCATATGAGAAAAGTTTTAAGGAAAATGCGACCAAAAAGTGACAGTTGAAATCTCTAGGACACATAATGAGGAAAGAGGGTTTAGAGAATTTGACACTTACAGGACATAAAGGCAAGAGAGGCAGAAGACAATATCGAGTAACTTACATAACGAGATTGTAGATGGCAGAACAAGCTGTGAGAGGGATAGTAAGGATACAAAGGATAAGTCGTGGAGGGCTATTATCGCCCACGTCTTGAAAGGATACAGCACATCGAAAAGAAGCTTTAAAATAGTCCCATCTGGAAACCCGGGGGGCGGCACCAGATCGTCTTTCAAACATACAGTGTGAATATCTCACTCACTTGGATAGGAATTCATGTTAAAACTAGTAATCACTTCTGAACAAATAAACGAAATATATATATATGGGATAATATATATATATATATTTTTTTTTATATCAAGAACATTCGGGGGTGGGAATATGTATGACAAAGTGGAAAGAGTTTTCGTATGAGGCTTTAAGACTTCATCAGACTAAGTTTATGTTTACGCAGTTGCAACTACACATACGCACGAACGAGAGACGCTGGGAATACTAATAGGAAGATGATTACTTTTTTATGTGTTTTGGGTATAGAATCTAGCCGATTTCATTTAGATTCTTTTTCTTTTCTTTTTCTCTTTGCATCACTTTCTCTCGTTCGTGCACATGTGTAGTTGCATCAACTTGAACTTAGTTGGATAAGGTCCTAAAGGATGAAAAGCGTCACAGGAAAACTCTGTCCACTTTGTCATATATATATATATAGTTTTTTTTATTTAGTTTTTCATACAATTTCTCATGCGATCTAATTTTTTTTTCTTTTCGGATGAAAATTATATAAAAACTGTCCGAATGCTCTTTTTATCCGAGCGCTTTCGGCTATACATTTAACCATTTTCAAGGATTATATTTTAACTGTTTGTTGTATGTATGTTTAATAAAATGTTTTCATTTTTCATAATACGGTCAAGATATTATGTCCATGTTCAAAGTTAATATTATTAAGTGTTGTTTTTTTTTATTATTATTAATAAGGCTTCGATTATTTTTAGCCTTTTTTTGCATGTAGACGATGCTATTATATTAACGTTGTCAACAAGTATGTTACGAATAGTGTCCGGTAGGTCTCCATGAATAAAACTTTTATAAAACATACATACAACAAACTATTTCTTATTTTAACAGTTAAAATATAATCCTTGAAAATGGCTAAAAAATATAACCGAAAGTGCTCGGATAAAAACAACATTCGGACAATTTTTATATAATTTATCATCCGAAAAGAAAAAAAAACTAAATAAAACCATCTTGTCTGTCGTTTTCAATGAAATGTGCATATATATATATATATGTATAATTAGTACACAATAAAATCCAAAATTACCTCATATGGGGAATACGCTTATTTCAACCAACGAAATTCGTCAATCTTATTCAGCCCGGGTATAGACTGAGTTCGTGTCGGAATTAGAATTAATTTCGCTATCGCTATACCAGGGTTGAATAAGTATTGTTCAATATATAATATATATATATATATATATATATATATATATATATATATATATATATATATATATATATATATATGAGAAATATTTGAAAATTCGAATTAAGAACAGATTTCAAAACGAAAATCAAATGTTTGATCAGCTTTTGGAAAGTATATTAGGCCTAAAACTACTCTCTACTACTATTTGCGGGCGTGTATTTTAAACGAATGTAACGACTTGTACAGAGAGAGAAACAAATAATTTAACGCAGCTTTCCTATATAAACATTTACTCAGTATTTTCGTTTTTTCCTAGCGTTTGAAGTTTTAATTCTGCAAATGACATCAAAATACAGAAGACAGCTTCAGCAGTAAAATTCTTCCACTTCCGTCTGCGTGTTTTCTTTCGATGTCGAAAGAAAAATAAAAGATCTCTTTCCGGACATTTTTCGTCGCAAACATCAACTGTAGCCTTTTAATTTTCAATTCAATTGCATAATACATTTTAGATAAAAAAATCTTTAAGTTTTATTTGTTAGTAAATAAATATATATTTCTTAAGAAATTCAGCAAAAATTAATCCTCCCAGTCATGCAGAATCACAAACTATTTATTAAGCTTAAATGTAACATAAGTGGGAGACACGGAATGAAGATACAATTCATTACTCGATTGGAGCAAATAGTAAACTTTTACACAACGGCAAACCGTCCAAATTGAGCTATTCAACTCGGATAAAAGTTTAAACTTAAAAGAATTACCGTTAAAATGTCTTCTTAATTTATACAGACAAGTTTTTACATGTATCATGCACCCACAGACGCACAGTCACATGTACACACACGTATATATATTTTCTATATATGCATGCACTCTCACGTATATATATATATATATATATATATATATATATATATATATATATATATATATATATATATATTATTTTATATGCGCCTTACTAAGTGGAAAGCGCTCAATGTCAGTGATAGTGCTATCATATTCAGTTCTATGGATATTAGTTTGTGACCCTGGGTTTAACGCATTTGCGATCATCAGACAAATTGTTTTATTTTTTAGATACAATTTTAAAAAAAATAAATCAATTTGTCTGATCACAAAAGCGTGAAACCCAGGGTCACAAACTCATATCCATACAACTGAATATATATATATATATATATATATATATATATATATATATATATATAAAATGGAATTCAAATACACCCATAAAATACATAAAATTACTAAAATTTCACGTCGGCCAGAAGTTGTTCAAAAAGCACTCAATCGATAACTAGGGCTATCAATAAATCAATAAGCGTTCAATGGAATTACCCTATTGACCAAATGCGGAGTTTCGTGTCAAATCGTTCGTCAGGCTCAGATGAGCATAAATTCATTGAATATTTATTGATTCATTGACAAACACACACAGATATATATATATATATATATATATATATATATATATATAGAGAGAGAGAGAGAGAGAGAGAGAGAGACAGAGACAGAGACAGAGAAACACAGAGAGAGAGAGAGAAAGAAAGAAAGAACGAAAGAAAAAGAAACAAGATCAGTTGAAAAAGTTTCTTTAACTTTTTTATAGCTGAATACACAGTTAAAAATCGGTTTATTACTGAAATCTTTGGCAAACAGCTAATATATCTGGTGTAACAGCAAAATTGTCTAAATCGTGTAACAACAAAATTGGCCAATTGTTTGATTAAGCTTTGAACCGTTGTATCTTAGAAATCATTACAGATATCTTACTGGAAATTTTCCGAGGTTTTTATAACACTATTGGACTCTACTTCAAGAAATAAGAATGTATTATTACTCTCCAAGTTTAACAGAAGTATCGTGATGAAAAAAAGATGATAAATGATGACATGCTCATAATTAATTAATCATAGCTAAGGATCGGAGGTTCTATGAAAGATTAATATAAAGTTCAAATATATATATATATATATATATATATATATATATATATGTATATATTATTCCAGGATCATTTTTCAACTTGTTCAAGATGATCTTCGCCCTCTCTAACCTTCTAACTTTCTGTCCTGAAATAACAAGTTGCCTCACGGGTTTCGCATACGATTATATTTTAAATCTTTTTTCACTGCTCTTTGACCTGTCATAGGTGAAACTCCTCTCTCACGGGCCAAACGTCTTATGGATTGAGTTGGATCTTTTCTAATTGATCTCTTTAAATGATGATTCCTCTTCCTGATGTGAACTTCTGATTCAATTTCCTCTCTACTGCTCCTTCTTTTATAAACTTATTCACCGT